GTAGTTGTAGTAGTAGTCGTAGTCGTAGTAGTAGTAGTAGTAGTAGTAGTAGTAGTAGTAGTAGTAGTAGTAGTAGTAGTCGTAGTAGTAGTAGTAATAGTAGTAGTAGTCGTAGTAGTAGTAGTAGAAGTAGTAGTAGTAGTCGTCGTCGCAGAAGCAGAAGTAGCCAGAATAGTAGAACTGGTAAGAACCTCATATACCCCTGACACAGGTTCTTGACTTGGCAGAGCTGGAATGGTAAATTGTCCCATCGCCCTGCCACACGTGCGTGATGATGTTGCTACTCAACCTAAGAAGACAACAGCTTCGATTCAAAACTTTCCCCCGCGGTAATGGAATTCCTCCTCGCAGCCCATTTCCCCTGACCAATTGGCTTGGCTGGAGAGAATCAACTCTCAATGTTGAAGGGTGGTCTGGTTCATCATCGGTGGCTCGCAGTTAATTGTGATCGCCACTACTGACACTACCACTACTCTAGAGATGACTACTCCTACTATTGTGACTACTATTCGACAATTTCCTGAACACGGTCCTGTAGACAATCCCGAACACTAGGGTAGCATATTGCAGAACAAAATAATTACACTAATCAGTAGCATGCACACTGTCCTACCCGGTATCTTGAGCAATGGGCTGAACCTTATCCTACGCGAGATCCTGGGAACTGTCCGTAACAACGTCCTACGAAGGCATGAACAACACCCCAAACTATATTCACCTCAATGTTGGGCAGCGTGGGCCCCGCACGTGCTCCGAGAAATACATGTTCAGCAATCGATGTTGTGCAATCGATGTTGTGCACCCTATGCTGTGCAGTAGGGATGGTGCTATCGATGCGGTGCAATATAGGTTGTGCAATCTCTGTGGAACAATATCTGCGGTGCAAGCTACGTGGTGAGCTCTATAATCTCCAGTCTATGGTGTGATGCTATGCACTCTATGTGGTGCGGTCTATGTGGTGCAATATGTGCGGTTGCGCAATACGTGTTGCGCAAGAAAGGAGATGCTATCTATGTTGTGCAATATGCGTGGTCAAATCTACGTCGTGAACAAAAAGCACACCGCAAGCGCATCTCTGTGTCCCGTGGAATCTATGTGGTGCAATCCAGCGGCGGCGACGGGCGACGGCGAAGCGACGACGAAGCGGCAACGGGGCGGCGATGAACGGCACGGAGCCGCCAGATCGTCCCACCAAGCCGGTTCCTTAAGCAGTAAGATCCCGTAAGTGCAAGCACCGTTTCGGGCATACTCTGATTGGTCCCCTGAGCAAGATCCTGAAGCGGACCATACCTCAAGCAAGGTCTTGAAGAATATCCGACCCAATAACTATAATAAACCATCATGGTCACCATCGACCATCTTCTGAAACACTATCGCAAATACTTTCCGAAACGATATCATAAGCAACATCCGATCCAACGTTCAGTCCGCTGTCAGAAACAAAGTCCTGCACAAGACCCTGACACAATCCTAACAAGATCTTGCACAATCATATGATCGATATCGTACACGATGCCTTGAACAACCTCTCCTATAACGTCTTCAGCAATACCATATACCCGCCATCGTCCCCTTCGGCACAGAATGGGCGTGCCCTCAGGTCCTATCCCTAATCCTCTAAGCCTCAAACCCAAAAGAGACCTCACATGGGCAACACGAACGAACATCCGAGTCTTGCTCCCCGAATTGCCCCCAAGAAGTCCCAAGGATGCCCCGAGAGGCCCCCAAGAGGCCCCCAAGATGCCCCAAAACGGCCCCCCAAAATGCTTCAAAACGGCCCCCAAGGGGCCCCCGAGAGGCCTCCCGCGACATCTCAACGAACATCCGAGAAGTCTTCAACCCACAACCCAGACACGGTGGCGGGATGGGCCGAAGGCCATGAATCCGCCGCCCCCTGTGTTCTTGCCACAGGGGTCCACGGCGTGCTGGACGATTCAGGTTTTGGTTTTGGTTCTTTTTCTAAAAGAACTCCCCAGTGGGCTTCGGCCCGTCCCGCCGGCCACCCGTAAGTTTCCGAAAATCCATCTGTCAATGCCTTTGTTGCCCCAACTTGGCCCAAGATGGCCTCCAAGACGGCCAAGATGGCCCAAGATGGCCTCCAAGATGCCTCCAAGACGGCCAAGATGGCCTCCAAGACGGGTAAGATGGCTCCAAGATGCCTCCAAGACGGCCCAAGATGCCCTCCAAGACGGCCAAGATGGCCCCAAGATGCCTCCAAGATGGCCCAAGAGGCCTCCAAGACGTTCTCCAGGAGAGCCCGAAGAGGCCAAAATCATTGGTTTTCCTTAGGTTTTTGAAGGTTTTTTGCGTTTTCTTCTTTTCGGCCTTCCGACGGCCCAAGAGGCCCCCAAGATCGCCCAAGAGGCCTCCAAGAAGGCCCTATGACGGCCCAAGGGCCCCCCAAGACGGCCCCAAGAGCGCCCCAAGACGGCCCAAGAGGCCTCCAAGACGCCCAACATGGCCTCCAAGACGGCCCTGAAGCGCCCCAAGAGGGCCCCAAGACGGCCCAGAGAGGCCCCCAAGACGGCTCCAGACGGCGTCAGACGGACCAGGAACGCCCTAAGACGGCCAAAGAGACCCCCAGGAAGCCCCCAAAGGCCCCCAAGAGGCCCAAGGAGGCCCCCAAGATGCCTCCAAGAGGCCTCGAAGAGGCCCCCAAGAAGCCCCCAACAGACCCCAAGGGTGCCCCAAGAGACTCCTAACAACCCTCATCCTCCTACTCTATTTCTTCCTCTTCCTCTTCCTGTTCATAATCATTCTCTCCCATGTGTTCCCCGAAAGCTTTCCAAACCGACTCGGGGAACTCATGGTCCGATAGCTTGGCCAAGCTCTAATCCAACTTTCGGCCACATCGGCGTCTCCAAAAAGGCAGGGGGCGGCGGTGATTCGCCGTAGGCGTCTTCGATCCGCCGCCCCCTTTTGCTTTAGCAAAGGGGTGCCTGGCGTGCCAGACTATATGGGTTTTGGTTTTGGTTCTTTTTCCCAAAGAACTCTCCCTGGGGCTTCGGCCCGTCCCGCCGGCCACCCGGAAGGCCCCCAATTCCCCAATTTCCTGCTCCCAAAACGGCCGTTTCGCTCGGGACATCCTCAAACAATCGCGAAGATGGCCCAAGATGGCCTCCAAGTCCGCCCAAGATGGTCCAAGACGGCCTCCAAGACGGCCCAAGAGAGTCCAAGACGGACCAAGACGGCCCAAGAGGCCCCCCAAAGGCCTCCCAGGCGGCCCAAGAGGCCTCCAAGAGGCCCTCCAGGAGGGCCCGAAGAGGCCAAAGTCCTTGATGTTCCTTAGGTTTTTGAAGGATTTGGGAATGTGCTTCTTCTCGGCATTCCGACGGCTCAAGACGGCCCAAGAGGCCCCCAAGATCGCCCAAGAGGCCCCCAAGAGGGCCCCATGACTACGGAGCCCACAAAGGACGTACGCGCCCAGCTATGTACATGAACACGGTCCCTTGAAACGCGAGACCAGCCGCGTGACACGAACATTCGCGCAATGCGAACTCTCGAAACCAGCGTGAATTCATGTACGTGTACGTCCTTCTTTCGCTCCTGAATGACGGCCCAAGTGGCCTCCAAGATGGCCCCAAGAGGGCCCCAAGACGGCCCAAGAGGCCTCCAACACGCCCAAGATGGCCTCCAAGACGCCCAAGATGGCCTCCAAGACGGCCCCGAAGCGCCCCAAGAGGGTCCCCCGTTGGCCCAGAACGGCCCCCAAGACGGCTCCCGACGGCGTCAGACGTGCCAGGAACCCACCAAGATGGCCGAAGTTGGCTCGAAGCTGGCCCAAGAGGCCCCCAAGAGGGCCTCCAGGAAGGCCAGAAGAGGCCAACAACATTGATTGTCCTTAGGTTTTTTTGTACGGATTTTGAAATGTCCTTCTTTTCGGCCTTCCGACGGCCCGAGACGGCCCAAGAGCCCCCAAAGATCGCCGTCAGATCGCCCAAGAGGCCTCCAAGACGGCCAAGATGACTTTCAAGATGCCCACGTGTTCCCGGAAGGCTTTCCACCCCGATTCGGGGAACACATGGTCCGATGGCTTGGCAGGTCTTGCCTCAACGTTCGGCCACATAGGCGCTTCCAAAAAGGCAGGGGGCGGCGGTAATTCGCCGTAGGCGTCTTCGATCCTAAACACGGTATCGCAAGCAGTATCCTGAGCACTGTTCCAAACAAGATCAATTACAACGTCCCCAACAGCATTCTACACCTTAGCGTCAGACGTGTCCTGACCACTACCAATTCTAAGAACATACCAAGTAACGTCCGAGGCACTATACCCTAATAATTTCAAGCATGATACCATACCACAAACCATGACCAACAGCATGAGCAAGCTTCCTCCACAATATTACCCACAATTACCCAACCAATGAATTGAACAATATCCCAAATCAACATGCTGGACAACTAGCTCGGACGACCACGAGCTAAGACTACTGGAAGTAGCGTTTCTGTCTCGAAGGCTTGAGTGCATGTAGCACTTGTCTTTAAGGAATGAGTGCGGGTGGCGCTTGTGTCCATAAGCTTTAGATGCGTGTAGCACTTGTGTCTCTAAGGGTTCAGTGTGTCTGGCGCGTGTGCCTCGAGAGTTCCGGTGCGGATAGCATATGTAGCAAGTGCGTGTAGCGCTTGAGTCTCTACGGTTTCTGTGCGTGTAGCGCTTGTGCCTCCAAGGTGCAAACGCGTGACACGCTTATGACCCTGAGGTTTTAAGTGCGTACGCCGCTTATGCCCAGAGCGCCGCACGCGAGCGTGCGCGCGCGGCGCACGGGCCGTCGGGAAGTGGCCCAGTCCACCGGGCCAGGGCCGTAGGGAATCGGCCCAGTTCACTGGGGAGCGGATTTCACTCGGGGACCACGCCATCCTCAAGGGAGCCGTTCGCCCCCCCAAACGCTGCCCACGAGGAATACGTGTGCCGATGCTCCTTCTTCGGGCCGAGGGCGGTGTAAATTTCCGCAAAGTCGGCGCGCGCCGAGGGCGTCTCGGCGCACGGGGCGCCTTCCCGCTCAGGCCTCATCGACCTTCTTCTTGGTATCCATGTACTTGTCGTACAGGGTCTTCGCGCCTTCCTTCGCGTCCTCTCGGGGTGGACGAGGAGAACAGCCATCGTGCTGCCAGGAGGAACGCCAAATGAGGAGCCCAGGGGAGGAGGAGGAGGAGGAGGAGGAGGAGGAGGAGGAGGCAGGAGCAGGAGGAGGAGGAGGAGGAAGAGCAAGGAGGACAGAAAAGAGAAGAAGAAGAAGAAGAAGCCAGGATGGCGGAGGAGCGCAGGAGGGGGGAAGGAAAGAGGTGCACTCTCTCGGCATCGGAGAACCTCCTTCTGGGCCTAAAGGGCTCCTTCCGGGGGAAAGTGTCTTACAGGGCACCCTCGCAGTCAGCCCTCGCTTGCCCACTCTATTGCGGCCAACCCGTTACGCGACGCAAACGCTGGCGGCGCGAAGAGTGTGATGGCTGAGGAGATCTGCTAGGCGCGCTATTTGTCTTCCTAGTTTCTCCTCCTCACTCCTCCTCCCCCATTCTCGCCGCTGGGCTCCCTCTGGATGCGTTGTTGATATATAATCGGCCCCCATCTCCGAGTGCGCTCAGAGGGCCCCCCAAGAGGCCCCAAGGACTGCCAAAGAGGCCCCGAGGGACGCCCAAAGAGCGCTCGAAGACGTCGAAGATGACCCAAGACGGCCCAAAGGCCCCCAAGACAGCCAAGAGGCTCCAAGGACTCCCCAAGGCTGTCCAGACGGCTCGAAGAGTAGCCCCAAGAGGGCCAAAAAATCGTGATTTCATTTGTTTTTTCGACGTTTTTTTGTGTTCTGCTTTTCGGCTTCCGGACGCTCCAAGGAAGGACAAGAGGCCCCCAAGACCGCTCCAAGACGGCCCACGGGCTCCCAAGACGGCCCGCGGAACGGCCCAGGGGGGCCCAACGTCCCAAGTGACCGCCCAAGACGGACCAAGAGGCCCACCAAGACGGGCGCAAAGAGCGAGGCTCAAGAGGGGAACCCGAGAAACTGAAAAACGAGCCCTCCGCCCCAGAAGGCGCCCAGGAGGCCCAAAAAGGCCCCAAGAGGCCCCCAAGAGGCCCCCAAGACGCCCCAAGAGGCGCCCAAGAGGCCCAAAAGAGGCCCCAAGAGGCCCCAAAACGGCCCCCAAAACTCGGCTAGCCCACAACGGTGCGACAATATGGGCCGGCGGAATGAGCGAAGCGATTAAATAAATCGGCCGATCCCGCGTGTGAGTTTGGGGGGTGCCGGGATGGCTCTGCCGGGGAAGGGCGGGGAGGGGGGCTGCCCCCGGAGGGGGGGGGCTGCCCCCATTCGAGTTTGGGGGGTGCCCGGGTGGCTCTGCTGGGGAAGGGAGGGGGAGGGGCGCTGCCCCCAGTCAGGTTTGGGGGAAGTTTGGGGGGTGCTGGGGTGGCTCTGCCGTGGAAGGGGGGGTGGGGCTGCCCCCATTCAGGATTGGAGGGGGGGGGCTGCTGCCATTCAGGTTTGGAGGGGGGGGGGGGCATTCAGGTTTCGAGGGGGGGGTCGTCCTCCTCCACCGCCTCCTCCTCCTCCTCCTCCTCCTCCTCCTTCTCGTCCTCCTCCTCCTCTGCGAGGTCAAGAGGCACAACATGAGAACGAATAGCATCATGCGAACAGGAGACGCGCGAAAAGCAGGGGAGCCGAAAAAAAGAAAAGCGCAAGAAACAGAAACGCCACCGGATCGGCGGCACTGGCCGGATGCCATTCCAGTATATGAATCGAAATACCCCGTGGAGGAAGTCGAAACCAGCTGCATTCTCGACCCCCCCCAATTCGCTGCACCAGGGGCCCTGACCCCCTCCCCGGGGTCAATTTTGTGCCTTCTTAGATGCATGCTTGGTCCCGGGGCGGAGGCCCATCTGGGCCTCAGAACCGCTCAGGTGCACGAGGAGTGGTAGAGGAGCGGCCAGGGAAGGACACGAAGAACAGCGGGCCCCTCCCGCATCCAAACCAGTCCTTATTTCAGAGTCTTGGCTGTCTCGTCGGAGGTCTTGGAAAGTGCCTATCGGTGGACGGTTTCCCCCAGGGCCGTAGGCGACCCGAGGAAAGACGGAGGAGGAAGAGGAGGAGCAGGAGGAGGAGGAGGAGGAGGAGGAGGAGGCGGAGGAGGAGGAGGGGGAGGGGGAGGAGGAGGAGGAGGAAGGAAGGAGGAGGAGGAGGAGGAGGAGGAGGAGGAGGAGGAGGAGGGTGAGGAGGAGGGGGAGGAAGAGGCGAGAGGAGGAGGGGTCGCATGAGCCCTTCGGAGAAACCCTCCACCTATCGGCGGCGGCCGAAATCAGACCATCCCTTTCGTCAACCCCGGGTCCGCGGGCAGGGCGCACGCCATGCAGTTCATCGTCCGCACCGCCGACCCGCCGTTGCAGAGCATGAACGGCTTCATCATCGCAGGCATCTTCTCCGCCGCCTGGGTAAGGTTGCTCCCATCGCACTTAAGGACCACATCCCAGAAAGAAATTCGGGCAACCGGAAAAGTGTCGAAACAGTGTTGAAACAGTGTCGGACGAGTGTCTCCCAGAGCCCGACACGTGAAAACCCTCGAGTTTCAGTACTTTTCTGGTGCTCGAAACATTCTGCTTGGTGATCAAGGCTAAAGTAGGTTGGAGCATCATAACGCCTGGGAGTCCATCTCTTCCAGCGCCTTCTGCGCCATCTCCTCCGGAGGCAGCAGCGAAACCCACGCGAGCTGCGCTGATCATGGAGATCCCAGAGCCCGCCACGGAGCCAAGAGGGGCGGGCCAGCCATCAGACTGAAGCCTGTGAGCCCCCTGCTCAGGCCCAGGGGTGGCACACAATCGCCCTCGCGGACCTGCCGCACGAGGAAGGGCGGAGTGAGCAGGGCGCCCGCACAGATGGGGCTGGTGTTAGGTCGGGCATGTCCTCCTACGGGCGGGTTCAGGACGGAAACCAGCACAGATTCAAAAAAGGCTGCAAAATGATCAGAAAAGAGCACGAAACATGGCCTCCATACAATTTTTTGACTGTCCTCGAAGGTTCCTCCTGTCACACGGACAGGCCCGACTGAAGGCTGGTGCGGGTGGGGCAGGCGGATCGCACCGCAACGCCGACCGCCTCGGCGGTGCAGCCTTGGCGGCGTCGAGGACGGACGGAGAAGGCCAGGCTCCTTTAGTGCGCCGCCTCGCCCGCAAGGGGCGGCGGTTCGGCGGGATCTCAGGCGGGTGGATGCCACCGAGGAACATATTGAAGAGTGGGGAACGGACAGCGCCATGCGCTGCGCGGCGCCCCAGCGCCCCGCGCTGTGCGCTGTCACAGCACAGCGCGGGGTGCCCCGGGCTTCGGCCAAACTGCGGACTGATGCCTCAAATCCGTGGGTGTCTGACATGAAACGGGGAAGCCTGTTTGAAAATGCGAACGCACCCACTGGGGCCCTCGGTGGATCTCCTCGAGGGGCACGGTGTGAGGGTTGGGCCGAAAAGGGCGGGGCGACGCCATGCGAACACACCCACTGGGGCCCTCGGTGGAGCGCCCAGGGGGCCACAAAACTTGTGAGGGGTGTGCCGAAATGGGCGGGTCGGCGCTATGCGAACGCACCCACTGGGCCCTTCGGTGGGAACCCCTGGAAGGCAGGAGTCGTGTGAAAAGGGAGGGCAGACATCGGCAGGGCGACGCCATGCGAACGCACCTGCTGGTTCCCTCGGTGGGATTCCCTGGGAGGCACGAGACGTGCGAGGGTTGTTCCGAAAAGGGCGGGGCGACGCCATGCGAGCGCACGCAGTGGGGCCTTCGGTGGAGCTCCCCGTGGGGCCAAGAAACGTGTGCGGAGGACGCGGGGCGCTCTCTCTTCAAAACGAGGACCCAACACCACAAGATGGTAGGGAAAAAAGACATCATAACCGGAATCCTCCTTTCCCATAAACGCAACTGTGCAGGCCGAAGTGTTGGAATGATATTCTCAGGGCTGGGGTATAGCCACGCACCGAATGAACCGATGCTGGGGTATAGCGGCGCACCGAATAAACAGATAAACCGATACACGCAATATGAGACTCTCAGAGCTGGGGTATAGCTACGCACTGAAGAACCCGACGCTGGGGTATGGGTACGCTCCGACAAAGCAATAAACCTATAAACGCATAATGAGGTTCTTAGAGCCCGAGTATAAATACGCACCGAATAAACCAATGCTGGGGTATAGGTACACACCGAATGAACAGATAATCCAATACACCGGTAGACAACAGTCGGTTGATCGGTTGACCGACCACTCGACCGATAAATCGATAAACGCAATATGCAATTCTCAAGGCTGGGGTATAGCAACGCACCGAATAAACAGATCAACCGGTAAACGCAATCAGACTTAAAAACCCAACACGAGGGCGATGGACCGGTTTAGTGGTTTAACGTTTCGCGCAATTATCAACGGATCAACCGATATAGTTGTATCGGTTTATCGGTCGAGAAACCGATATGCCGATAAACCAAAAATGGTTGGTTTACCGGTTTATCGGTTTTATGTTGTTTTCTTGCGGTCGCACTCGTATGTTTGCTCAACCCCGAAGTGCTCTAAGATCAAGAACAATATTCTTAGAACAGAAGCCCAGTGTGTTAAAACAACAAGGTCTCAGCCATGAGTGTTCGAATAACATCTTCGCGCAAGCCTCAAAAAGTCATCAAAAGATTTCATGGTGGGCCTATGAACGCCAGGACGCTTCGCCACTGCGAGACCGAGGCCTCTGGAGGCCCAGCTCTGAGGGCGCGAAGGCGCTCAACCACACCTGGGCCCCGGGGCAGAGGCCGCGGGGCAGCCGCCCCATCCCTCGCCTTCGCTCGGACACCCACTTCCCGTGCATTTGTTTCGGTTTCTTGCGTGCATGTTTTCGCCACGAGGGCATCAGATGCTCCTCGATGGTCACCGCCAAACAAAGAAAACAACACACACACATATACACACACACACACGCGTCCGAACGATGCCAAGATCACCTCCACGTCACGAGGAGAGGACACGTCTTGGGGCAGCGACATTCGCGCCTGGCGCTCCGCCGAAAGCGAAGCGCGACTCTCTTCGCGTTTTCGCGCCGCCCCCCCCCCGCCCGGGCGCAGGATGAGCGACTCGCAACTCGCTCTGAAATTGCCCCGACACCGAAACGCGACTACAATAGGTTCGTGCGGCGTCGGCGCGCGCACTGGCTTTTTGACCCCGCGTGGATCGTCCAACATTTCATCGATCGCGGCACCGATCGCTTAAAAAAAAAAAAAAAAAAAAAAAAAAAAAAAAAAAAAAAAAAACAAAAACAAAAAAAAAACACAAAAAAAAAACAAAAAAAAAAACAAAAAAAAAAAAAAAAAAAAAAAAAAAAAACAAAAAACCAAAAACAAAAAAATTAACACAAAAAAACAAAAAAAAAAAAAAAAAAAAAAGAAAAAAAAAAAAAAGAAAAAAAAAACGAAGAAAAAAAAAAACAAAAAATAAAAAAGAAAAAACAAGAAAAAAAAAAAAAAAAAAAACCAACAAAAAAAAAATAAAAAAAAAGCGATCCCGCCGATTCCAATGGCAATGCCGTCTTTTTGGCGCTTCCGCGTCGCCCCATCGTGCGGAAGGACCTTGAACGCCTTCGCTGATGATGATGATGGTGATGATGATGACGGCGGTGGTGGACGATGATGATGATGATGATGATGATGATGATGATGATGATGATGATGATGATGATGATGATGCCTTTTTGCCTTTTTGCCCCGTGGTCTCCAGGTCCCCCCAGCGCCGAGAGGCACCGCGTCACGCCACGTCACGCCAGTCAGAACGCGTAGCCTGCGTTCTCGAGCTTCCGGCAAAGGCCGCACACCTCCCGCTCCAGCTCGCGCCCCAGGCTGGTGAGATGTATCCCCATGTCCTCGGATTCCTACCTGCAGGCCTCAAATCTGGAAGTCAAGGGCTTGACCGTGTCCTCCTGGAGCATCAGGACGAAGCCTGACAGAAGGCTCTGCGCAGCGTCCACGCGGGATTCGATCTTCGAGATCTTTTCGGTCACAACCTTCGGCGCCTCGACGATCTTCTCGACATACTCCACCTGGGGCGCGTCTACGATCTTCTTGATCTCATGGGTCACAACCTTCGGCAGTTCGACGATCTTCTGAACGTACTCGACCTGCGGCACCTCGACGATCTGTCCGACCTCTTCGGTCACAAGCTTCGGCACCTCGATGATCTTCTCGACGTGCTCGCCCTGCGGCACCTTCACGGTATTCTCAACCTCTTCGGCGACGACCTTCGGCACGTGGACGATCTTCTCGGCGAAATCTACCTGCGGCACCTCTGCGGTCTTCTCGACCTTTCCAGTCACAGCCTTCGGCACCTCGACGATGTTCTCAGTGTACTCGACCTGCGGCACCTCCATGAACTTATCGACCTCTTCGGTCGAACGCTTCGGCACCTCGGTGATCTGCGGCACCTCCACGTTCTGCTCGTCCTCCCGCGGCACCTTTGCGGTCTTCTCGACCTCTTCGATCACAACCTTCGGCACTTCGACGATCTTCTCAACGTATTCGACCTGAGGCATCTCCACGATATTCCCGGCCTCTTCGGTCACACCCTTCGGCACCTCGACGATCTTCTCTACGCGCTCGCCTGGCGGCACCATCACGATCTTCTCGACCTCATGGGTCATCGCCTTCGGCACGCGGACGATATTCTCGACGTGCTCTACATGCGGCACCCCCGCGATCTTCTCGACCTCCTGCGGCACTTCCACGATCATCTCGACCACTTCGGCGACGAGCTCCGGTACCTCAGCGATATTCTCGACGTGCTTTGCCTGCGGCACTTCCACGATCTTCTCGACCTCATGGGTCACAGCCTTCGGCACGTGGACGATCTTCTCGGCGTGCTCTGCCTGCGGCACCTCCACGAACTTCTCGACCTTTTCGGTCGCAGCCTTCGGCAAGTTGACGATCTTCCCGACGTACCCTACCAGCGGCACCTCCACGATGTTCTCGATCCCTCCGGTCACAACCCTCGGCACCTCGACAATCTTCTCGACGCCCTCTACCTGCGGCATCTCCACAAATCGTGCCATCCTCTTCGTCGTAGCCCCAACCGCCCGGAGCGAACCTGGGGACGAACTCGTCAACGTCGGCCTTAAATTCGAAACTCATATTCTCCTTCTTTTCTTTCATCTCCTGCGCCTCTTTCGTCAGCTGACGCACGCTGTTGGCAAGCCATCGTATAACCGCCTCATTGTCGCCTCGCGAGCCCCGCCCCATGCCAGGCGGCGGCGCGCAGCCATCCCAAACGATGCCGTGCTGGAGCAGCGCGCGCGGCCGTCGCTTGAGCCAAAATGAATGATGATGGTGCTGACGATGGTGATGGTGATGGTGATGGTGATGGTGATGGTGATGATGATGATGATGATGCTGATGATGATGATGATGATGATGATGATGATGATGGTGGCGGTGGTGCGGAATTCAACCTGGAACGCCTTCGCTGGCGTCGCCAGCGCGCCGTCGCGCCATCGTCGCAAGAACCTACTGCAGCCTCGCACCCCCCGTGGTGGCCCCATTTTTCTATATATATATATATATATATATGGTCGAGGGTTTGGGCCCCCCCCCAATGATAATGCCATCGGGACCCCCCCCCCGCGCGATGGTCCCCCCCCCTGTGGGCGTGGGCGTGGCGTGGTGGTCCCCCCGCCCCCCCCCCTGTGGGAGTGGTGTGGGGTCTCCCTAGTGGGTGTGCGGTGGTTATGGGTCCGCCTCAGCCAAAAGTGGGCGTCGCTGGCGCCGCCGCCGCCGCCGTTTCGTCGTCGTTGTCGTCGTCGTCGTCGTCGTCGTCGTCGTCGTCGTGTTCGTCGTTGTCGTCGTCGTCGTCGTCTTCGCCATCGTCGTCGTCCTCAGCCTTTGCCTCCTGAGAAAGGCGGGTACATGGGGAGAGGAAGCGGGAGGGGGGAGCAAGGTAGGGAAGAGAGGGCCAAGAACGAGGAGGGAGGGATGGAGAGGCGGATGGGGGGAGGAGGAAAAGGAACATCGTCGTCGACGGTGTCTTCACCGTCGTCGCCTCCTTCTGGGTGTGGCGTTGTGTTCCGGTGCTTCAGGGAGCCGGAGCGGACGGTATCTTCGTCGTCGTCGTCGCGGTCCTCCTCATCCTCCTCCTCCTCCTCCTCCTCCTCCTCCTCCTCCTCCTCCTCCTCCTCCTCCTCCCCCCCATCCCATCTGGGGGGGGGGCCCGAGGACCCCGGGACCCATCCCATCTGGGGAGGGGGGCGGGGGGGGGCCGTGGGCTCGGAGCCCGCGACCATATATCCACCGCCCGGGGAGCCGCCAAGAGGGGGGGCCCCCGCGGAAGCGGTGGAGATAGAGGTAGTCTGGCCCCAGGGCTCGAGATAAACAGTGTTTTCGTTATCGTTATGTTTTTGTCATTATTCCTTCTGCCTTCCCTCTGCCTTTCATGTGCAAAAACGAACACGGTCCACGAGAATGCCAAAAACACGGTTTAACTCGAGCCCTGGGCCAGCACCAGGGCACGGAGCCTGAACAGGTCCATGTCCACCGCCAGTCAGGGTTCCCGAAGATCGATCCCCCAGGCGGTGGCTATATGGAGACAGTCCCCGCCTCGGACATTTTTGGGCGGCCCAGGGCTCCTTGGCCTTCTGCTTCATGGCCTCCATGGCGAGTGGAGGACTTCTGGGCGGTCGCGGGCAAGGAGCCAGGTGCAGAGGGCGAGACGCGCCCCGAGTGGTCTGAGCCCAAGGTCGCTACAGGTGGCAAGGCCAGGTCCAGATCGTCGTTGCAGCCTCCGTCGTCGACGTCCTCGTTTTCGCCGTGGGCGTCGTCATCTTCGTCGTCTCCACCGTGGACAGCAAGCTCAACGTCGTCGCGCGTGCTTTGCTCTCGCTCGGCGCTTCCCCCTTCTCTACCCAAAACGGCGCCACGTGCCGGAGCCCTTGATTGCCCCTTGAATGTTTGAAGGATTTAGGCCTCGTCGCGGGCATCGACGTCTTGAGAGCCTCTCTTCTTTTTTCGTCCGCCGTTGCCAGTCGGAAGACGGCTGCTGGCATAGACGAAGAAATCATGGCACAAACATAACTTTTGGCGCTCCGCGCGGATTTCTTGGATCCGCGCTGTGCCCCCCTCCCTGGCGCGTGGAGCGAACCAGGGGCGGCGCCGGAGGTACCGCCAGGGGGCCCCAGTGCGAATCTAAGGAAACCGCGCGGCGCGCCAAAAGTTCATGTTTATGGCATTGTTTCTTCTTCAAACGAGTTGGAGTGTCCTCAGGTCCTTCCCCAAACTTCTTAAGCCTCAGTCCTCAAGCCTGGAATTCTTCTGGGCGCCAAGACCCAGAATTGCCGAATCTGCCGGGGCGTGGCGCCTGCCGGGGTGTGCTGTCGCATGACCTCTTCGCGCTCAAGGAGGGCCCCAAGACGGGCCAAAATCGCCCCAAGAGGCCCCCCAAGGCGGTCCAAGAGGCCCCGAGTCTCCGAAAGCTCGCCCCAAGGCGCTCAAGATGGCCGCAAGACTGCCCAAGGTGCTCCCCCAAGACTCCCCAAGTGGCCTCCCAAGGGGGCCCCAGAGGCAAACTCATGTATGATTCATTGGATTGGAACGATGTTGGCATTCTCGCCTGTTCTGCTTCCCGACGCTCCAAGACGCCTCAAGAGGACCCCAAGACGGCCTAAGAGGCCTCCAAGAGGGTCCCAAAACAGCCCAAGAGGGCCCCAAGACAGCTTGAAGAGGGGGGCCCCGATGGGGGACTCCAGCGGACATTTCGAGCCCTCGGCCCCGAGAGGCCCCCAGGAGGCCCCAAGAGGCCACAAAGAGGACCCCAGGAAGCCCCAACAAGCCCCCAGGAAGCCTCAAGAGGCTCTCAAGCGGCCCAAAAACTGCCTCCAAGAGACCCCCGAGAGCGCTCCGAAGAGACCCCAAATTCCAGAGCTCGATTTTTCTCCTCCTGAGCTGGGGGCCCCACATCGTTGTGGCCTGGCCACGCCACCTGGCCTGGAGGCAGGGGAACCCAGCATCGGATCGGTAAGTCGGGTCGGCGATCGGAATTCATCGGATCGGCGGGCATCGGCAGCCAAGTCAGGAGAAGTCCAATCGGCAGCAAGCAGCAGGCTAGTCAGCCTCCTTTGAGGAAACACAATCGGAATCCGAAATCGAATCGAATCGGAATCGCAGGCCATCGAAATCAGAACGCATCGAATCGGAGGAATCGAAACGAGCCCCGTGGAGGTGGCGGCGCGACCACGTCGGCCGCCGCTGCCCCTGGGCATGCGCGGGTCCGCGCCAGGGCGGACGGGCGGACCCTCGCGGAGCTGTCGGTGCTGCACGCTGCTGCTGCGTCCCTAAGGGAGAGCGAAGGAGCAGTCGGCATCGAGTCGGAAAATCTCAGAGGAGGACGGAGGAGGTATATACCAATGCTGCTACGAATCGTTGCTTGGGGCATTTTGGGGGACTTCCGGGAGGCCCTCGTCGCCACGGATGGATTCTCGCAGAAATGCTGGTCAAACTCACCCGGGGGGAGGTCTGGGGAGTGCGTGGCGGTGTGGGCACCCTCTGATCACCCCAAAAGCAAAACGTGACCCCGATCGGGCCACATCGGAACGGAGTCGGAAGATGATTGGATCGGCCGCACCAAGATGCACAATGGCACCATGCACACACGGGGCCACATGTGGGGAAACAAAAGGTACCGATACCACCGCTCCCCGGACGTCTCCCCTGGTGCGTTCCGACAAAAATTTCGAGGCGAATCCAGCGGCAGCGCCGAGGACCTCCCAGCAGGCCCCAGAAGAGGAAAACCGATGGGAGGGCAGCAATACTGGTACCCCTCTCCTCCTCCGAGCATCGGACCGTCGGAATATCGGCACCGAATCGGATCGGGCCGGCCAGAATCGATGTCCTCCCGCACGCCCTGCAGCTGCCCCCGACGGCTGTGGGGCGCCTCCCAGAGGCCCAGAAGATTCCCAGGGAGAGGGGGAGGGGGAGAGGGCGGGGGCGGGGGAGGAGGAGGAGGAGGAGGAGGAGGAGGAGGAGGAGGAGGAGGGCCTGCACAATGGTCAACGTACCAATCCTCAGCGTCTTCGTCATCGTTATCAGCATCATCCCACGTCGTCCTCACTCCTCACCCGTATCCCCATTCCTCCTCTTCCTGCTCTACTCTTCCGCATCCTCCACAACCTCCTCCCTCATCTTCCTCCTCCTCCTCTTCTTTCTCCTCCTTCCTTCAGTCCCTGTCTTCTGTACTCCCATCCCTCCTGCATCCCTCCTTTGTATGTTCCTTCTCTTTCCTGATCCTACTCTGGCTGCCTCGGCCCGCCCACCCCCCCGCCCCTCAGGACCACACAGCGCAGGTTGGCCACGAGGGTGAACACGGCAAAAATGTAGAAGCCGCCCGAGAGAACAGCGTGGGTGTTCTCGGGGACCTAGTGGCGACGACGGCGACAACGACGACGACGAGCATCCTCCATCCCTTTCCTTGTAGACAATCCCATCCACGTCGCAAGCCAGGCGGTTCGCCGTATATTTCCATACCGCGTAACCTCCTGTAGCGAGAAGCTTGAAAGAGGTATATCAACAGATGAAAGGCGGACCATGTTCATAATGTGGCCCACTTCCTAATAAGGCGCAAACATCGGGAGGTTTGGTTTCAACATGTGGATCTCGCGCAGCCGTTGCGCAAATCGGACTTGAGAGTCCCCAACAACTCCAAAACATCAAAGACACTGATGTTCAAAAGACGGATGATGCCGTGGCGCCGCGCAGATCCGTCTGATTGCCTGAGGAGCTGCACAGGCGGCAGGCTCATCGTTTCTAACATGTGGCTCTTGATCCAGCTACGCGCACCTCCATTTATTTAGATACCAGCAGCCAGAAGGACGGATGACGCGTCGTTTTCAAAATATTGTTCTGGCCTCAGCGTCACGCATGTTTGGCTTAAATGTTCCCACTAGCTGCATCGGTGGAGAGCGGGCAATGTTAAAACTTAAGGTTTCACCATAGCGCTGCGCACATCCATCTCCGGAGAGATTCAGGTCCCCTCCTTTTCAAAATTGAACTCTCGCTTGGCGTGTTCTCGAAATCTATGGGTTGACCATGCGCATCATGCCAGCAACAACATATACATGCCATACTCAAGGCCAAAAGTGTATGTCCAATGTGGAACAGCGCTGCACTTTCACATATGTAGGGCGGCTTCTTTACCACAAGGGGCTCCCGCTTGAGACCTCCTGCGCATCAGCCTAATCACATGCCGCTGTGCACGAAGTAGAAAGTCATCAGGTTCCTTCTTGAAGGCGACTGGGGGTCTGAACTGGCCCTTTTCATCCTGGATTTAGGTCGGGCATGTCCTCTTACAGGCCGATTTTCGAAGAAAGATAAAAAATAGCTTATACTCAAAATTCTGCAACAAGAACAATCAACAAATCGTCCCCAGACTATTTTTGACTATGTTTGAAGATTCCTTCTGTAGAGGGACATGCACGACTTAACCCTGGATCCGTCTTTCACGGCCTCAGGGCCCGAGAAAGACTCCCCGGAGGCCGTCAGAGGCAACAAAACGTTCCCGAGCCCCGAGCCTCAAACCTACACGCCATTCCTGCAGTCCAGACCAGTGCTGGACCGGCTCAGGCCCCAAGACGGCTCCAAATTACTTTGATAGGGGGAGGAGAAGGAGGAGGAAAGGAGGAGGAGGAAGGGGAGGAGAAGGAGGGGGAGGCGGAGGAGGAGGCGGAGGAGGAGGAGGAGGAGGGGTCCACACCCCTGGGCTCCGGGGTTTCCCGGGCGCTCTCGGGCGGCTCCCTGGCGCTCCCACAGGGCGCGTGCCGCGCGACTGGTCCAGGGTCTCGGGGAAAAAAAAAACTAAAAGAAAACAAGAAAAACCAAAAAAGAACAGGACAATAAAACAAAATAAAAAAAATAAAAAAAAAAGAGAAAATAAAAAAAATAAAGAAGAATAAACACGAAACACAAAAAATAATCACAAACAAAACTGTGCCAAACCTACAGCCCCCCCATCCCCCACATCACCCCCCCCACCCCCCTCCCCCCCCCTCCTCCCCCCCTTCCCTCCCCACCCCAACCCCCCACCCCTTTGGCCCCCCCCTCCCCACCCACGCCTACACCCCCACCCCACCCCCCCTGCTCCCCCACACCCCGCGCCACCCCTCCCCCCCCACCCCCGTCCCACCTCCCCCCCCCCACACCCGCGCCACCCCCGTCCCCTCGCCCTCCTCTCCAATCGTCCCATCCCCGCTTCCCCCCCTCCCCACTAAGTACCCGCGGCGCTGTCGCATGGACCAGCTCCTCACTACGGTGACCCACTTGCTACCGTTCGAAGCGTGTCCCCTAACAGCGGATTTTGGACAAGAATGAAAAATCATCACAAAAAAGCCAACAGAAAAACACAACAAATTTTAAACCACAACCTTTAGCCACAACAAAAGATAACACTGTTTTTTGGATTCCAAAATATCTCTGTAGAGGGACACGCCCCGACTTAACTGTTGGGGCGTCTCGGGTCGCCCGAGGTCCAGTGCGAAGGGCCAACAGCACTTGAACAAAGCATGCATACTTCTATTGCTCTCTTGAGCGCATGCAAAACGGCCCTCAAGGTGGTCCCCGAAGCTCTCAGGTAGGCCCAGAATGCCTCCATGCGGCGCCGGGATAGGCTCAAGAGCGGGGGCCCGAAATTTGCGATGCATCTTCGGGGAGTCTGCTCTTTCTGGTCGCGCCAGCGCCGAACCCTCCCTCGCCGGATGCGGGAGGAATTCTCAATTTCATTACAGATAAAGTCCCCTGAAAACGCAACGCAACGAGCAACAAATGCGAGCCCTCCTCCCAAGATGGTCCCGAGACCGCCGACACTTCCCCTAATCGGCCTCCCGAAAGAATTCCACGAACCACGTCTAGAGAAAGGCCTCCCGAGAGACCCCGAGAAGTCGATCAGAGGCCTCTGCGGGATGGGCCGGCGGCCACTAGATCCGCCGCGCCTTTTTGATTCACCAAAGGGGTTCCTGGCGTGTCAAATCTTCTCGGTTTTGGTTTCGGTGCTTTTTCAAAAAATCTCCCCCTGGGGCTCCGGCGCGTCCCGCCGGCCACCCAGAAGACCGGTTGCAAACGGTTATCCTGCCCCAGGGCCCCAATATGGCCCAAGATGGCTTCCAAGACGGCCAAGATGGCCCAGGATGGCCTCCAGGATGCCTCCAAGACAGCAAGATGGCCTCAAAAACGGCTACGATGGCTCCAAGATGCACCCAAGACGGCCCAAGATGGCCTCAAGATGGTCTACCACGGCCCAACAGGCCAGCAAGAGGCCTCCGAGACGGCCCATGAAGCCTCCAAGAAGTCCTCCGGGAAGGCCCAACGAGGCCAACATCATTGATTTTCCTTCAGTTTTTGAAAGATTTTCGTATTTGTTCCTTTTCGGCTTTCCGACGACCCAAGGCGGCCCAGGAGGCCCCCAACAGGGCCCCAAGAGGCCCCCAACAGGGCCCCATGACGGCCCAAGTGGCCTCCAAGACGGCCCCAAAGAGGGCCCCAAGACGGCCCAAGAGGCCTCCAACACGCCCAAGATGGCCTCCAAGACACCCAAGATGGCCTCCAAGACGGTCCCGAAACGCCCCAAGATGGCTCAAGTCGGCCCGGAAAGGCCCCCAAGACGGCTCCCGACGGCGTCAGACGTGCCAGGAACCCACCAAGATGGCCGAAGTTGGCACGAAGTTGGCCCAAGAGGCGCCCAAGAGGGCCTCCAGGAAGGCCAGAAGAGGCCAGAAATATTGATGTTCCTATGAGGTTGCTGACGGATTTTGACATTTGCTTCTTTGAGAGAGCGTGATCCACCGCCGCTTTACTGTGGAAGCTTGCCAACTTTCTCTTCCGGGCCCCGGGGGTCCCTGCGGGTGCGGTGGATCGTTTGTGCGATTTGACCAAGCGGCTTTCCGCGCGCGTGACGGCTCTCAGGGGTCTGGGGATACAACGCATCACATCTTAAGATATCCGTCGCAAGCCCTCCTTTCCCTTTCTCCTCCCTCCTCCCTCCATTCTACCACCCTCCGCCCCCTCTCCCTCTCGTTATTTCTTCAGCACTGCTAAAAAAAAGCAACGCAAACGTGATGCACGTGCAACGCAATGCAAGCGCATGCGCAATCCCTCGCGCGCAGTAAGTTGAGCGTTGCCGCGGGGGGTCTGCGAAATAGCTGGGGCCTCCCAGCACAAACAAAAATGCAACCCACACAGATTTTCAAGTACGCACATCGCGAATACATGTAACATCATGAGCGGAGGAAAAAGAAGCGTTGCAAGCCACGGGCATTAGCTAGTACTTCTGGCGCTTAGCTGGGCCAGCGGAGGAAGTGCGCTTACGCTTGTTCCTCTTCGGGGCGTCGCGCCCTTCCTCGAACTTAACCGACTTGGGAATGGCAATGAGACCTTGCTCGAGTTGCTGTCGGAAAACTGCCATCGCGTGGGCGTGCCAAGACGCAGCCTTGATGTCAAGCATCCCCTCTGGAGCGCGTCTCTTCATGTGCAGGGCGATCACTTTTCCAAACGAAGAGAGGTCTAAAGTAAGCCTGCATCGCTCGGGGGTTGATGTGTAGACGCTCGCGCTGTACGACTTTAGCTGGAACATGACCGCTTTATTTGGGGTTGTTCCGAAGGTGCACGATGAACCAGTTCTGGCTTTGTAGACCGGTATGTTCTGGTAATAGAAGACACGCGACGCTGCCATGTACCTCGAGAACAGGTCGCCGACTGTTGACTTGGATTTACGTCCTGTGAGCGGCCTTTCGCACGCCTTCACATTCATGCTCATCACCGCCATGACGTCGATGCAGTATGCAGTACTGCTTGTGATCTAAATGCTTCTTCTTCTGGCACGTAGCATTTTGGATCCTGTCATAAGCCTTGCGGAGCACACAGGGGCGAGCATCGAAGTTACCTTGGTTTTGTCCTCTGGGTTGGCCGACGTCGAAGTATCGCTTGTTCTTCAAGGTCGGCGCTGGCTTTCCGTTGAACTGCAGCATAACCTTTTTGAAATCCCTGCAGAGCTGGTCGCCTTCTTTGACGAAGTTCGCCAAGTGCATCCAGGCATGAAGAGGGTCTCCGCCAGCGCATTTTACGTTTGGGAAAATCTGCTGCACATCTTGCAAGCCCCGCTTCTCTTGCGAACCAGACAGCACAATCTCCGTTTGGCTTCTCTGTGAACGGCATGTATTCGACCTCATGAACCTCGCCAGCTCTGGAACGCCTTCGCTGAAACCAGGCTTGCAGGCCGCGGGGACTCCGTCGGCCACCATGACGTGAACGCAAAGCAATGACCCGAACGGTCCGCAACGCTGTTCCTCCTCCCGCGGCTTGTCTGGCCGACCGCCGACAGCGTGCACTTTTGCGGCGAATCGAAGGGCGTCGCTCGGAAACTCAGCTGGTC